CGTTTCCGAGCTCATCCCCTGTCAGCCGCCGGCTGTAGCGCACTACTTAATTTTTGACGATAATGGGTGATCAATGGATTGCAAAGAGTCATATAAAGCTTATCCCTTATCGGATCTCCCATCTCCATATTTTATTTCTTTTGATTTGCAGTTGATCAGGCTGCATCCGGAAATAGAACAGCCCTACGTCATCCTAGTGATTGGCTTTAAGTCAATCAAATTTAAGTTGAGGTGGTCACAGTATGCGAGTTTGTTTATAATACTTTCTCCTATACTTCCACCTGCCTAGAACGTGATCGACGGAGACCTGTGTGAAATGTTCAGTTCACTGGACCTGGCCAAGCAACGCAGTATCGCGACGGAGATGGACAAGGTACCGAATGACATCGCCAAACGCCTTGAAGACATGCGAACGCGTTGCGCCTTTTAGGTCTCATTTTTTTAGACCCTTTACGATACAGGCCGTCTGTCTCTCCCTCTTCCTCCCCCTCCTTCTCTCTCTATCTGTCTTTGTACATAACCCCACCATCCTTGTACGCTTTTCAACATCAGTTTTTAATAAAAAATGGCATATCGTTGGCACACGGCTTGAATTTCTGCCCAGAACGACAAATAGAAGCGTACTAGTTCAACTCTCGCTTGCCTCCCGGGTGTCTAGTTTCTGAAAGAAACTTGGAGTGTCCCAAAATATGTCTATGTGGGACTGAGCGTGTGCAGTTTTGTAAGAATCTCGGCAGCCACGATAAAATGGTAATGACAAAGTAACTATTTGGATTAGGATGATTTACTTCCGGAATCCTTGAGAGCCGATGTCCTGTCCAGTATCATAATCGCATGTCGGCGGTGTCCGACATGTCGACTGATAAAAGTCCCACTACAGGGTTATATATATACCCCCTTTCTAGTGGCCACAAACATGGCAGATTCTATTAAATTTGAGTTGAGGAGTGCTCTTTGCTATTTTTCTAGACTGCTGGGCGTGGATTCCGCCATCCCGGTCTGTTTTTAGGTGTTGAACTGGGTGTCTTTAAGCTCTTCCGTCTTTCAAACTACCAAGTCGACTGTGTTCAAGAATGGGCTTTCCGGACACTTTAACATGTGGTATTCTGCTGGTAATGCCGGG